ATGTAGATGGTTTATATATTTGCTTGTTCTCCCTTTCACTGGCCATTTCTTTTCTTTTTTTTTAATTCTTTTTTTATCCCACTGATTTTTTAAACCAATGTTATTCTGTTGTTCATCACAACTCTCCCTAATGATGGATCCCAAACAATACGTTTAGCTGGTTTTGACCCCGACTCAGTGAATCTCCATGGGTGTAAGTAAACTCTTACTTACATTCTGTCTGTGTTCTTTGTAATGGTTCACATCTTTCATGAGCATACCTTATATGAGACATTTTATGATATATTGGCATTTTCTACTAAATGCTGTAACATTATATAGTGCAAATAGTAATGTTTAAAAATTTTACCTATTTAAATGATCAGATGATATAAGGTTTCACTGCTGAGCGTGTGGATCCTTTTCATTTTATAAACAGCACCTTAAAGCACATGTAGTTCCAATCACAGGAGTGGCTCTGCTGGAGTGGAAAATGTTATCATCTTTTCCCACCTGTGGAAGAGATCAAAACACACTGTGTTGCAGGGAGAGGAAAATGCCCTTTCTAGAAAATCCCAGATGGGGTGGGAGAAGTCCAAAGAGTGCAGCCAGAACCAGAAGATCAGCACACTTTCCAGGGGGGTTAGGGATTTGTTGTAACATGTAGAATTGTGAACCAAAGAATCTGAATAGAGAGGCTTGAATCATAAGTTGGTAATAATTATATTAATATACATGTCTTATGCAGAAATATTTGTATAAGAAGTTTGTCATATAAAAGCAGACCAAATGGTGTACTGATTTATTTTGTGTCAATTTTCTGCCTATAATTTCGTCTCAGCACTTAATTACTCTTCTTTGGGCTTTTCATTTCACATAGAGGTAAGCCCTGAAGGCATAAGGTATATGTAGGATGGTAAGCATACTCCAACTGCAGATCTAATAGGCTTCTGTTCTTTTTTGGCAGACAATAGCTGGAAACACTGCTTGTTTCTTTTATCAGTGATGAAGAATAGACAGGCTTAAGATAAGATTTCATTTTCTAGCTTGACCACTTGAAATCAGTGATGTTTTAACTTAAGTCAGTGAGATCAAAATCACGCTCGTGTCACTTAGAAAAGAGCCCACACGCACCGGATCACCATAGAAAACATAAAGGAGAGTGTACAAATTATTTATACCGCAGTTATTCAGACCTCATGCTGGAACTTAAAGGTAGAAAAATTTGAATGCCCTGGCTTTGTATCTTTTCTCACTCTATGTTGCTTTTTTTTTTTAAATTGATGTTGCTATACCAAGAACCAAGAGTTGGTTGCAGTAAACCCATGTGGTCAGTACATTTCAAGTACATTTCTGTCAAACGTCTTCTAAATCCTGTTACGCAGTTTTAGCCAAATTCACAAGTCGTGTAAGTATACCTAAATCCAACAACTTCATCAGGATTAAGATCTAACAGTTCTACTAGCAGAATCAATAATGTGATTGTACAAACTAAAGTCTCATGTGTCCTCTACAATAAGTCAACAGTCTGCAGGAACTGTTTGTTTGTTGGGTTGTGGGGTTTTTTACCTCTTAGAGCTTTTTTTTAATAGTTGGAATCAGTCTAATATCCAAAGTCACAATATTTCGTTGTATGTCTACAGCTAGGGTAGAAGACTGCCATATCCCTATGTTTTTACTTCTTATCTACTTAAATTAAAACTGAATAATGACTCCAGGGAGTGATTCACATCATAAACCATAGTTTATAATGAACTCTAAGGAAAAAAAAAATCACATTGCTACTTATGCAAAGAGGTTTGTCTGTCTTTAAAGCTTGTTTTAATGTTAATCATGTATGACTTGTATGATGATGTGAAAAAGGGGGACAATTTTTTATTGAATCCTACTAAAATATCTTAGGCTATAATATGAAAAATCCTGAAAAGCTCTAACCCATTTGTGAAGAACTTTTTTCCAGTAACATCAATTTAAAGTAATATGCTTAAAGATGCATGATATTTCTGCACATACACACCCAGATGGAAAAAAATTAAATTAAGAAGAGGTATAGCAGAGGTATTAACGTGGTTATGTGCATCTTTAGGCTGTCTGTAAGAATCAACTGTCACATTTACGTTTATGAAATGCTCATAATCAGCGATGCGCTCTATTTTACGCTTCCATGCTGAGTGGCTCATATGTCCTAGTTACTCATCTACAATATAATTATGATTTTGAAAAAAGAAAAAGGCCTGTTGCATTAAAGACAGAGTTGGAAATATTCCAATGTATTGCATTAATTTAGTTCAATTTACATGAGCGTGTTTCACTCTGCTAGGGAAGGTTAATTCACCAAGCTCCATTTCCTGCCTTAATCATCTACCATAAGGATATTAATATGTCATATTAATGCCACACACTGCTACTGTGAAATTTGTGGTCCAGCCTCTAGCGATTTTTAACTGCCTTTGAGCTAATGGCATATCTATACATACACTTTAAACTGTGTTTTTTGAATATTGGTCATAATATAAGAACAGAGCATTTCAGCTAGAGGGTTTAAAGAAAGGAATTTGAACTGTCCATGACTTGCACACTGCTGTTGCCACAGCAGTCCGTGGTTGAAATCAGCAGTACTCTCTAGCCAGTGGTTTATTATCCACTCTATAACTGTCTGCAGCTGTGACATTTGCTGTCACATACAGCAGGTTTTTTAAGCTGCAGCAGGAGTAAAAAGTAAGTCTGGGGATACAAAGTTAACTGTTGGCCAAAACCAGGCAGTCACCTACGGCAGCGAGACAGGGCAAGGTGTTGTGTGCTTAGTCAGTACTAAGACATTGGCCTGAAGCGCCTCTGGGCACTTGAAAATGGGGTCACCTTTGGGGGGACTTTAACTGGATCCTTTACAGCACTAGAACCTTTCAGTGTAGCCACGAGTGAGAAGTGGCAGCAGAATGGTGACGAGGGGGTTGCTGCCTTCCTTTTGGTATTACAGACTGTCTCTGTGCCACGTAAAGATTATATTTCTGCATGAAGTCAGCAGGAGGCAGAACTCGCTACTGTGCTTTCTTCCCTGCCTTAACAAGCCTTTCCACCAGCAAAGTCCTGCTCTCTCTCCCACCTTCCATCTGAAGAAGGATATGGCACTAATTTGTCCATCGGTGCGCATAGGAGCAACGCTAGTGGAAGCCACTGATGGCACGCTGATGGCACACCCTTCCCAAAATAAAGTCCACGTTATGCATTCCATACCTGCTACTGTTTAGATATTGCAAAGATAGTGGTCTAAGGAAAAATGAGGTGAAAAAGGAGCTGGAAAATGCTGCTTCCTCCTACAGTGCATCTTCCACAGTGACAGACTTTTTTACATAACTTTAATGTTTTGTGGCAGAGCTTAAACTGAAGAGTCAGTTTCTCTTGAAGCTATGCTCCATCACATAGGTGATTGTACTGAAACATATAAAAGAAAGCTTTGTGCCCTGCTGGGTCCTGAAGAAAGTGAGAAGGTGCATATACTGGGGGTTATGAGGAATACACATACTTCTCTAATAAAAAAATCCTAAAGAGATGGAGTACTTTTGGGTCCATAGCATATATAAGCACATATCTTGCTTGAAGAATGCATCCCATGCTATTGTTAGGTGCAAATCCATTAAAACAGCATATATTACGCATTGCTGAAGAAGACGAGTGTGTCAGCTGGAAAATACTGATATTTTTTATTACAGTGTAGGCTATTGCTGTATGTAGGGTATCAGACATGCTTCTTGGCTTTTTCATGATTCCTCTCAGGCTTTCAAATCACAAACCCAACTTCTCTGTAGATTTTCTCTGCACAGTGGTATCTTAGAGAACACTAAATTTAAGCGTGAACCAAGGAAGCAGCTTTTATAGCAGGTGACTGCTCCGGAACTTTATAGCAGTGACTTAGTTGGACCAAACGGCCCTTAGCTTTTAACAGAGCCATTTCTCAATTTTCATGAAGTTGAGCATACTCCTTGCAAAGCTCTGTATGGAATAGCATGTTAAAGCTGTTACAATAAATCACTTGCTTCAAAAATAGACCTTGTATTTAGAGAAGTTATGGAGCCAAGTTACTCCAAGCACACATCATCCCCTCAGTGTATATTTCTGCAGCTCTGTTAATATTTAACTGTATGCTATGCAGAAGTTATTTTTGCAGGGAAAAAAAAAAATGCTATTAAGTTACTAAGTCTGTTTCTAGCTTGCATCATAAATCAAAGAGAGGTTACCTCACTTGTGCTACAGAGCTTCGTTGCTTTGATTTTAGGTGTGCAAAATTGGAAGTTTCTTCCTGGATGTATCACTTTGCAAGTTGATTAGAGATGTCGTAAGACTCTGAGATACATTCTGCAGTTGAAGATTTCAGATAGATACAAAATATGTATGCAATAAATATGAGTACAAGTCCAAACTTCTTATGCTTCACGTTTAGTAGACAATGAATCCAGAGTTATAGCATCTGGACGTTTAATTCAGAGTTTGGCAAAGAATAATAATCTCTAGAAAAAGCTATAAAAGCCTATTTTTTTTTTTTAATGAAATATGTTTTTTATTTCTAATTGCAACCTTAAAATACACTGGCTCAAAACTGTAGTAAGACATAACATAAAACAGCATCACCATGAAGCCGTTTAAATAAGAAACAATATGGGACAAGAATGCTCAGAGAAATAAATGTTTTTGCCTGGGATACTCTACTTTGTCACCACACATTATTCTAACTACCATAAGGTTCTGGCTGCATTGGCTGAGGAATCATGAACAGACATTTCCAAACATTTTCACACTATTTTGAATATGCAGATTGGAATGATAACAGGCCATTTCAAAGATAGAATGAGCCATAAGATTTTTAATTAACATAAAATTGATCTAAGTATTTTTTTTAAAAGTGCTATTTTCAAAGCCATGTTTTGGATTGCTCTTACTCTGGATGAGAAGCTGTAAGACCAGAGAGGGGTTGGGATGAAAGCTACCGTGTGCTATTTCACAATGTTTCACTTTCTGAATTGCAGTACCCTTCCTATTAAAGATCGTCACGTAGACAGTGCCTCTCCGGTGTATCAGGCTGTGCTTAAAACTCAAAACAAGCCTGAAGATGAAACCGAAGACTGGAGTCGCCGTTCTGCCAATCTGCAGTCTAGGTCTTTCCGCATCCTGGCCCAGATGACTGGAACGGAGTACAGTAAGTCGAATAACAAAACATCCCCCGCATCCTGATCTTAGATCCATGTCTTTATTTTCTTACCCCGGCATTAGCAACTGATACTCAAGGAAGACTCGGGTCCAGCTTGTACTCATTGTCAGTGAGGGCTAAGATCGGAGAACCCTGGACGTAACTTGAGGGAACTAGGAAATCAAAGTGTTCAGTCTCACCTTAAGCTTTATGAAGAAAACTTTTTGGTCTGGCAGGAGTCTCACCATAAAAGTATAACAGCCTATACAGTAAAAGAGCATTTGGGACCCCATTGTTCTTCTTACAAATCAAATCTGTGCAGGGTAATCTTTCATTTTCTAGCAGCCAAGACATACAAAGCTGTCCATTCATTAGAAAAAAAGATAAACAACTTAAATCTCTTGTAACAGTCTTTTATAGAAGTGACTTCCAGACGTCAAAAAGAATCATGGATCACCATTTGTATTGAACCTACCGTTCTCTATCAATCAGCCCTGTTACCTAAACCTAGGTCTGTTATGAATGTCATGGGAGCTTGAACTTTGTTGCCTATGGAAACATTTTTCTGACCACCTGGTGCTAACCTCAGATCTTGTTGCTGATCCAGAGAGAAGTTAGTTCAGGGACCTTTCCCGCATCAGGGGGAAATACTTAGTATTTCCTCCTCATATGAAGCTACTGCTGCCTCTCCTGCTTTCCTACAAAACAGCAGGCCCTCTCTGTAGAGTGATAGCCTACAGCTGGGAAACATTGCTAATAAATGAATAAGAAAGTAGTTGTAATAGCTCCTTTCCTACTAACAGCCTTCTTCCCAGCTCTGGGGAACTGCTCCTCTTCATGCTGTTCTTACAAAATTCAATGCTGCGAAGTCAGCATGAATGCACATTTAGATAGGCTTTTGATACGTTTCTAAAGAACTTATAATTTCATCATAAAGTCAATTCCTTTGGTTTTTTTTTTTCTTAACTGAAACATTTTTTTACCTGCAGTGCAAGATCCAGATGAAGAAGCCCTGAGGAGGTCAAGGTAGGCAACTCACTGTGAAAAACATGGCTTTCTCCTTACTGATAACCAAGTAATGTTTTAGAACAGCATTAATATGAATGTACATTATTATTTTTTTGTCTTAGAATATTCTAATGCATTTACTTTAAAAATCACTAAAATTAAAATGCTATCAGTGAGAGGCATTTGAATGACAAAGATAACAAATTAGCATGTTTTTAGGAAAGATGGTGCAAAATTCCTGGTGTGTGTTCAAATCTGAAAGCTCTCTGCACATGCAACTGTCATGTACTTTACTGAGTGTATGAATGCAATGAGTTTTTAAGACCAAGTCCTGTGTAACTACTTGATTGTATAACTGGATGAAAGTCTATGACATTGTGATAGCACTGAAATTTGTGAGCAATTTATTTGGATGATCCTGTGACTGACATTTGACTCTCCTGAAATGATGCAGCAAAGGAGTTGTTTCCATAATCATTTGCTTATGTTTTCTTTGGAATAAATACAGCCCAAATTTGTAGAATATGGAAGCACAGGACTGCTTTTGCTAGTGGATAAATGTATGTTTCATATGACCTACCAAAAACACTGAAAAAGTGGGTATGTTCAGAGATACAATGAGGAATTGAAGACTTATCATCATCTTATGTTGTCCTGCACAGCCAGGAAATAGATTTCTTAGAGATTCTTATGTTGAGCTTAAAAACTGCAGTTGAATCAGAGCATCCTGTATGCAAGCCTGATTTTCTGTTTGCATACATCAAATCCCTATATCACGTTAGCGACTCTAAGGTGCTGGCAGAGTTTGTAATGTGTTTGATACTCAATCCACTTTCTCTTCTTTTTCTATGTTTTTTGGGGTTTTTTGTTTTTGTTTTTTTTACCGCTATGTGGCTTCTATAAAAGTTCTGAGCTTTTGATCACAGTGCAAGTTAAAAATGTTGAATCAGTGTGAAAGATGTCTGTCATCTTCCCTGTGAGAATACAATAAGTATACTTTCAGTTTATGTTTGCTATAAACTTTCCATTGCAGTTCACCAAAGTTCATGGCTAGGTGCCTGAACATCAGGCTTGATATTACATCCCTCATGGATTTATTTCTTCCCTCAAATGTGCAAGCCTAATTCTTCTTAAATGTATTGTGCATTATGTGTTTTGATGTAATAGCACACATTCAAATCCTTCTTAAGATGGGATTTCAAGCACTGTGCTGAACTTAGTCCCACATACACATCTGAGAGTAATACGTTGTTTTAAAGAAATAATCTTTCTAGCTGTAGCCTGTGGCTTTGGAAAATACTAGATATTGGAAAGTTAACATGGTATCAGATATGTTGAAAATAATTATCTAGTAACATGGTAACGTGTAAATTGCACATTCTATTCAGTGTAACTTAAAGTACATGAGTATAACCACTGTGCTTTGCACATTTTCTGCAGTTTTGAGGTATCACAAGCACAGTTCTGGTTATATTTAGGCACAGCTGTATTACCTAAAGAGGTTTAAGGACATTGATAGGTAGTAGAGGCAGAAGGGAATATAGTAGTATAGTAGTTATACAGGTACAGTGCAATTGGCGTGAGCTCTGGTGCAAGGAATGAAATGGGGGCTCCTTCCTACCTAATTGATAGTGCTTGTCCCATCTCAGTGGCTTGGTACCTCCCTCAAATGTTGCACATACTCTGCTGCAGATTTGGTAGCAACAGCCCTGGTTATGCACACATCATCCATCATATAGTACTTTTGGGGCCTATTGGACCCCTTCTATTTAACCTTTTGGCAAGGCCCCTGCCACTTTTGATTTTGTAAAGGATGGAAGGACCTACGTCAGATGCACAGAATCCATACCTTAACTCCACTCTTGCAGCACAGTGATGGAGTAGAAACTCCTCTTCAGTATCTACTCCAAACAGCCTGTACAACCACACCTTTCTCCATGCCCACAGTTTGGGGTCCTGGAAGGCTTCCTGGGCTTCTGAAAGCAAAAGGTTTCCATGAAACTGCAGAACTGGAGTCTTGCCAGATTCCGTGTTGCATTGATCCTATGCACTGCTGGCATTCTAGAAAAATCCTTCATGTTCCAAAACTGAAACTACCAGAGATTTCACAGTGTGGGGAATTTTGGTCTCTGGGCAAGCTGTGAGCGATCTCTCTCTCTGGTGCTTTCTCTTGTCTCTTGGTATCAGCTCTTCAGTGTAGTCAGCAAGAACTGGTTGAAATGGTGATCAGGCTTCTTCCAAACACCTGGGGGGGGAAAAATGGGGGAAAAAAATAATACATGTAGCTTATTTTTGGCAGAACTGTTTTACATAATAGTCACTTCTAGATTGCTGCTTCTAACTTCATGACATATGCTCTGAATAGAACTCATAAAGCTTGGGAATTTTCAGGTGCCAGAATATTCCTTTCAGTTAATATTAATGAGCACATTGCATGACTGTCCTTTGCTCATGCTACTGCTATTTTGAAGGCACACATAAGATTATAACTTACTGTGAAAACTTTCCGTTGCTGTTGTGATGATCGTTATGCAATATTTTCCAGAAAGATGGTATCCATTTCAAGCCAAACAGATGTTTCTGAATACCTCTTCCTTGAATGGAGGGGTATGTCTTTAAAGCAGTAAGGGAATTCTTAAATTTCATGTAAGACCCATTGTAGCTAGTATGCTTCAATGTAACTTGAAAAAATACCATCATGAAGTTTCATCATTTCAGCTAGGAATACTTTATATCTTCTAATTACTTAAAAGCATGAAAGAGAGTTTGAGAAGTCATGCATCAAGACTCCTTTGTGAGTGTTACTTGCATGACACTGTGTTATTAGGAACAGAACGTTTAGAAATATCAGTGAATTTGTTGGCATTTACTCTGTTCATTGTTTTGCACTTTATTCAGCCTGAGGAGTGAAACCAGCAAAGTCTGTTCATTTCTGTTTGGCTGGTTGCACTGTCAAGTTCCGCTGCACTAACACAATTGTCTTGTGTTTTGGGTGTAAATAATGAGGGGAAAATTACCTTGTTTGCAACGAATCAAATACATTTTGCAAATAACATTTTATTTTCCATTCTGTTTGATATACTTGTCCTTGACTGTGCTCTCACTCCACATCTTCCTCCTTCCCCTTTTTATTTACAAAACCTGAATTTAAACCAGAGAACATCTAGAAAAGATTAAATGCTTGAGTGCCCCAGTCTGCAGCCAAAGGCAGCTAGGGCTGTTCACAGGAGGTGGCCAATACTTCACAGGACTGTGCTCTGAAAATCTCACGTTATTCTGCTTTTTGACACAAATGACCAGAAATATTTATGCAAATGTCAACACTTATACTCACTTATGCTGAAAAAAGCTATAGAAAAGTACTGCTGAAACCTGTGGCTGATGGTCCTTATAGGAAGGACAGCAGGATATATATATATAGGCTGACCTACATATTGCAGAATGGAAAATATTTGCATTAATTTTGTTCTTGTATGGAGTTAACTTTCACTGACTGCTCAGTTGGGGGGAGGGAGGGAAAAGCCAAGAGAATCTGCTGGCAACAAAACAATGGGGTTACACTGCATTTCTAGCAAAAGCAGCCCTGTAATACCAAGCACAAGTCAAAGAATATGAAGTTATATCAAGTTATTTCTCAGAAATGAACAACTGCAAAACCTTTCATACATGGTCCGAAAAGGATCACCCAGCTGCCTTTGTGCTGATTTGAAAGCTCAGGCAAAATTCCAAATAAATTGCCATTGCCCTAGATATAAGGCAGGGGAGTGACAGTCATGGTCCCTAACCCCTTTCTTTCTCCCTCCTTTCTTTCTTCTGTCTCTCTCTGTCTCTCTCTCTTTCTTCATGCCACAGGGAAAGGTTTGAAACGGAACGTAACAGCCCACGCTTTGCCAAATTGCGCAACTGGCATCATGGCCTATCGGCGCAAATCCTTAATGTTAAAAGTTAAAAGCTCACATTTAACAGGCAAATACACAAGACAGAGAATTACAGTAAAAAACTAACTGCTGTCCTGAGTTAGAGCCTAAAAATGTCACACACCCAGGAAAGACTTACTGCTAGGGCCTGTCTTCGGTAGATTTCTGTTGTTAGCCTGGTATCCATTCACTATCACCAAAAGTAAAAATAATGATACAACCTGGTTCATGTTCTTCATTATAAAGTAGATTAGCTTTTGTCCTTTACTATATCAAGTGTAACTTCAGTATACAGGAAAACATCACTGTTGTACTCTCTTGACTTTAATTCTAGAAGAAAATGAGAGGGAAGTTATTGACAGTATTACTTTAGCAGGAAGAGGAATGAGACTTTTACTGATTTCTACTGCTCTAAAGATAATTGAGGAGAAAGAGAGATGAAAAGGAAAGCTTGACCGAGCCTGGTCTAGACTTTGCTAAATGTACAACCTGCTTAGTTTGCATAGTTGAATGATGCTGTTTGAAGTAAGATATTAGCAATGTGAAGTTATATTTCTTCAATATATTACACTGGTAGAAGTCATTTGCTGAAACAATTGCTGTACGTTTTCTGTTGGAAGCCTGACTTTGTCACTATATGAAAGCTAGAGATGGCTGTGGTTGCTCAGGATCTGTGAGGAAATGACAGTTTGCTAGGGGTGATTTAGGAATGAGAAGAATATACAGTACTACTGGTGCACTGAAGTTTTTAAAAGTATCTTGTAAGTTTTAAGGAATATGTTGCCCATTCTGTAATCCTCTTGCTTTGACCCACATTTTTTCTGTATATAGCAGCATGCTTTATCTGAAATAAAAGGATTTAAAACGAAAATAATTATGTGCCTGTTTTACACAATACTTTATTCTGTTTTAAAACAATAACTGCTTCAACTGATTATTGAAAGACGGACAACTTTTCTTTCCACAATAGAAAATTTGGTCAAAAAGCTTTCCCCTGTTACGTATAATTCTTTCTGACCTTTAAGTTACTGGAATTAGAATAAACCTGACAAAGCATTTGAGAAAAACAACAACAGAAATTAACAAATACTGTATTAGGTGTGAATGAAAACAAGGCATAATTAATAGATATTAGATGACAACCTATTGATAATATCATTTAGTATTTCCATTTGAATAATATGCATTCTCTGGCAATAATGTATTAATTTGTGCCCATGCTGAAGGCACTTGAGACATTGCTGGTGCTTAGAATGGGATCTTTTTGTTTCAACATTACAACAATGCTTTGCTTTTATGCTGTGTTGGTCAAGACACGGCAAACCTATACCAAAGGCCTCCAAATATTTCTATTTTCTGGTTGAAGTACATCAAGAGCAATACCACCTCCCTTTCCAGTTTATGCTCTGATCACTAAATGAAACCAAAAAAGCAACTAAATTAAACTGTGGTTTCCATAGACGCAGTTGATGCTAGACCTCACAATCTGCATTAGGAGTCCTTAGCATTGGTTGAAGCAAAAGTTTCTGGTGATAAAACACTGGTCTCTGCCACAGAAAGTTGACTCTGAAGTCCTGCCTAGAGCCCTCTATAAATTATTTTCTTTCATTAACTTCTATAAGCTGCAAATTAGGTACCTTTATCTGGTAGCAGTAATTCTGCTCAAAGAGATTAGACTGAAACTCTTACACTTCTTAGTGCTTCCAAACACCTGGAATTTATATCAGCAGTCTATACAAGAACAAAGTTCATTCAAGCTCCCATTGTTTTTCTGTGTTATAGAAGGAAGGAAAAGCTACTGTTCATGGAAGATTTTGCATGAATCAACCAAATATTGGAGCATTTAAAGGAAAAAAATATGTAGCTATTGTACTTTTTTTAAAAAGTACTTTCTGAGCATTATTTAAGAGTACATGAGCATTAGTTCCTTTTAAAATGCATTTAACTTTTCTTAGATAAGTACCATAGCAATTCAGTAAGCATGCCATTTAAAACTCAGTATTCATTTATATTTTCCTTATGGGAACACAAAGAGATTCTGATCGTACCATCTTATTAGTGCCTGTGGAAAATCAGCATAACTGATGCATGAAATAAGAGCAACATTTTAACTTTTCCTGAATGTTGCTGAGATCAAACTTTGGTTCAGTGTGGGTGAATTGTATATAAATAAATGTACATAAATATAAATGGGGAATTTTGATAGAATTTAAAATATAAATAGGCAAGTAACTTTTTTTCATAAACATCAAATGTACCTGAGTAAAAAAATCTTCCAGATCTAATTTTCATCCAAATGAATTGGTAATAAGTATACTGAATAAGTAACAATGAAGTGTTTTCATTTAAATAGGAATTATGTCTCCTTAATGTTCTATGACACAATACAGATACTATTTGTTTCAAATAGTTCTAGTGCATGTACTATAATGGAAAAGAAAATGTCTAGACTATAGCTCAATGTTTACGCTTAATCTTATTTTTAAAGGTTTTTTTTTTTAATAATCAGAAAAGCATAGTTTGATCAGATATGAAATTAGTGCAGATGCAATTGAGGAACCTCTTCCCCTTAGCTCTGCTTCAAGTGGATTTAATAATAAAAAATCAGTGCATATAAACCATGTAATCAGATGGAGAAATAGTTGTAATCCTTTTTCCTGGAGGATACAAAATAGAATTTAAACATATTCCAAGCTTGTAGAATTTCAATTCTTTATGTAATCACAGAGAAAATGCAGTAGAAAAATCTTCTATAGTTGGTAACTTTTTAGTTAGACACCTTTTGTGAAAATGCTGTCATTAATCCCTAAGGCAAGATTGTTTACTACTGCATATTTCTACTGCTCAGTACAGTCCGGCTCAAAAAAATCTCCCAAGTGATGGGCTTTGTTAATTAAATTGTCGGTCAAATTTTTCTGTCCAGTTTCTTGGTTTTTAGACTAGTAATTCCTTAACTCTTACTCCTCAAAGCTCTGCCTGTATGTTGTTGTGGCAACCTTCAAGCCCAGAAAATTAATATTAAAGATCTTTCTTTACATAACTATTAGGAGGCCTTGTTTTTCCCTCCTGAGTAGGAGGCAGACTTTTTCTATAGGGTGGAGAAATTGGGCTGGATTCGTCATTCTACTACATCTCATTGCTAGAGACTGTAACAGACTTAGGCCTGATGAGAAATCAGTAACAACTTTAAGAGACCACTAGCTTTGTTCTAGCTAAAGGTCAAGTCTGGCCTGGTTATGCCCTTTTTTTAATACGTCCAGGTTTATCTCACTATATGTTGCTTCTCACTGCGTCTCACAGTGTTTCTTGACCATTTGCAGAAGTCTGCTGGTTTGCCTAGGAAAACTAGTCTCAGTTAATGACAGTGAGGCTTAAAATAGGTTCTTGATTGAAGACTCGATGAGTCATGTAATTCTTCAAACTAGCACTGATGATAGGCAGCTATATCTGTCCCACGCTGAATATATTTTGAACCATGACTGTTCTGCTGGGCAGAGGACAATGGTTGGTGACAATACTATCTTCTAAATAGCTGCTGTGCCAAAAATAAAGTAAAACGTAGGATGTGGATAGTGATATTAACCCCCTGCCCTTACCAATATTGCCAGTAAAGCATAGTGTTATAAGCATTTAATGAAGACACAGCAAAGCTGATGCCAGTAGGAAATCAAACCCAAAAGGCCTTCCAGGTAAATCTGCTTGTCTGGTTATGACACAGGGAAATGCTTATTTTCTGCTGTGGTATACGACCGTTTGATCTAAACTAACCTGTTTCCTGAATACTGCTGCCTCGCCTTCCACTCCAGTGGTCTCCTCCTCACCTCCTACAGTGCTTAGTTTGCAGCCGGAATACTGACTGCATGCAGTGTGTGCCGATGGGATGTGGCTAGAGTGTGACTTTAGGAAAGCAGGCATGAGAACTTGAGCTCTCTTTCATGCATGAAGTAATTACAAAAGGAGAAAGGTTCTGTGGCTCCTTCCCTTGCCTCCCTCTTTTCACGCCTGCCTGCATGGGAAGGAGAGTAAGTTTCTGCTATGTAATATAGAGGCCGCTTTCTCTTCACTGCCATTTCTCTCTCATTATGCACAACTGTGTGGAGTGTATCTTCAGTAGCAAGGAACAAGTATTTTAGGGACTACTTTATCACTTTTGAAAAGTCCATCTCTTGCGTATCACAGAAGTGTCTGAAGCCTTCTTCAGGGGCAGAAGAAGGGATGCCAATTTTTGACTTGTGCACTCAGGTTCCCACAGGGACCAAGTTGATTTTGTGGCTTCTCTAGCAGTGTCTACCATGAGCTTCAGTGACTGGGACTATCATTACGCTATCATTACATGTATCAGAAAATACATCAATATTTGCACAAATTTTGGTTTGCAAAGTTAAATAGCTAGAATTTTGGTATGGTATGTGGTAGTACCAGATAATGACTTTCTTTAATCAGCTAACCTTTAATCAACAGCTTTCTGCAATATACATGAAAATTAATTGACTAAAACTTGCTCTCAAGCACAATAACATTCTTTGTTCTACTGCTGTTTATCAAAACCATCTGACACCACCAAGACAAGCTAAGGCACCTTGATCTCCTTCCATTGTTTGCCAGAATTTCCAATGATTAGCATTGCTGACCTGCCCAATTGCCACAAACTTCCCCTCTGTACGCTAATCAGATTACCAAAATCCTTTTGAAAGATATACCTTATTTTTCCACAACAGCCCATGAAATAAAGCAGACTTCTATAGGTAGCTTTCTCATTTAAGGAACATAACTGCAATAAAGAATAAGTACATCAGTTTAATATATCCTGATCCCTGCTGACCTTTTAGCACCTAAAGAGTGACAAAAATGTAGGAATAGACTCAGTTGTCTCTATGGAATTCTGAATTAAACCAGAAGGGAAAGTTGATCAAATACCATGTCTTTCTTCCCTAAAATACTGCTGGAAGTTCTGTGGGAAAAATAAATATAGAGATCATAAATTCCTTGTTTTCAAGCCAGTTTTTTTTTTTTTTTTCAATTGATCAAAGATGGTGACCATAAGGTATGGTGTATCCATTTGAATGTACTCACTTAAAATTGAAAATGTGAGGCCTCCAAATGAAATTAGCAAATACCATGAAGCTTTTCTCAAAGTAGTTCATGGAGAAAGTAATGCTTAAGCTAACACAGCTTATTAAAGCTCAAGATTCAATTTTGTGGGTGGGTTGGGTGGTGCTGACCTATATTTAACATCTCATCTTTACCATCTCAGTCTTCTGCGTGTTCCTGTCCAGCATTTAACTTTTGCATGGTCAGAAACTAACATCACTTTCATTCCTACCGTGCAACCTTTAAGATTCTCCTATTCACCCTTCTGCTGATGTAGATGGCTAACCCAGACACCGGTGCACGATGCTACCTTCCTCTCTGACTACTCCCTTGCATTGCCTTCGGTCCAACAGGGAAAACTCAGTTCTTGCATGTAGCAGGCTTTCCAACAAGCACGTGTAATGCAGAGGTACTCAGTTGTGGTCTGTGGATCATCAGACTGGCTCACAGAGCTTTGTTTAGGGTGAGCTGGAGAACTGGCTGATAGCATAGCACTGGCACTGCTTCCTTTTATTCTGCTTCTAAATTGCATTAATGTCAGCAAAATTACGCTGAATGCTAATAACTTCCTAATAGTTCATTTCCACGTAACCATTTGTTGTAGTAGACCCAGAATGTTATATGATTACAAATGAGAGAGAGGGAAAGTAAGAAAATCCTTATGAGAATTTTTGAAATAAAATGTAATCCACATTCTGAAAGAATGATGACTGCCTCAATACATACTGTGTACTTATTTGGTTCAGGAACTAAACAGAAAACACACATTAGTATA